CTGATAATCGCATTCCGTAACAGAGGCATGCTAAAGGAAGGTCCAAGGAACAATTGCCCGTTGAGGGAGCAAAATGCCCGCCTTGGATCAGACGCAGTGGCTGCTTAAAATCGACCCAAAACATGATTTTTTAAAGACATTTCTGAGCGTTTTGGCCAACTTTGAGACAATACTGCTCCCAAACTAAGACTGATAATCGCACTCCGTAACAGAGGCATGCTAAAGGAAGGTCCAAAGACCAATTGCCCGTTGAGGGAGCAAAATGCCCGCCTTGGATCAGACGCAGTGGCTGCTTAAAATCGACCCAAAACATGATTTTTTAAAGACATTTCTGAGCGTTTTGGCCAACTTTGAGACAATACTGCTCTCAAACTAAGACTGATAATCGCACTCCGTAATAGAGGCATGCTAAAGGAAGGTCCAAAGACCAATTGCCCGTTGAGGGAGCAAAATGCCCGCCTTGGATCAGACGCAGTGGCTGCTTAAAATCGACCCAAAACATGATTTTTTAAAGACATTTCTGAGCGTTTTGGCCAACTTTGAGACAATACTGCTCCCAAACTAAGACTGATAATCGCACTCCGTAACAGAGGCATGCTAAAGGAAGGTCCAAGGAACAATTGCCCGTTGAGGGAGCAAAATGCCCGCCTTGGATCAGACGCAGTGGCTGCTTAAAATCGACCCAAAACATGATTTTTTAAAGACATTTCTGAGCGTTTTGGCCAACTTTGAGACAATACTGCTCCCAAACTAAGACTGATAATCGCACTTCGTAACAGAGGCATGCTAAAGGAAGGTCCAAAGACCAATTGCCCGTTGAGGGAGCAAAATGCCCGCCTCGGATCAAACGCAGTGGCATGCTAAAGGAGGGGTCTCGTGGGGTCGCGAAACTTTTCCTGGGGGTCGCGGAAATTTTTGGCTACAAATTTGGGGTCGTGAGCCGAGAAAGGTTGAGAACCGCTGGGTTAAGAGGCCTACCTAACAAAAGCAGTGGCCTGCCTAGAAGATGTAGTCTGCCTAAAAAAAGCAGTGGCCTGCCTAACAAAAGGTGTGACCAGCCGGCGTAAGGCAGATGAGACAGTCCTTTGTACTACCCTGGACTGAGGTCCTGTCTGTCCTGTGGCCGTCATGGCTGTCCAGCCCCAGCATGCACGTCCCCGTCGAGGTCCCCCGCGTCCAGCCGTCATGGGAAATGAGGTCCGAATGGAGACGCGCTGGAGTTTGTCCGGCCGACTCTCCGCCCCGCCGACTCGGGGCTCCGGGAGAGGGTGAGGCATGGCATTGGCCTTGAGTGGCAGTGAGGCGGCCAACAAGACGGGGCGCTTTGACCGGAGACACGTCGCGTTACAGGCCATTGCACATCGACGGAGAAATAGGAGGGATACGTTTATTCGAGCCAAACTGTCGATACGGGCCGAGCCCGGCCGAGCCAGCGGGGCCACCCGCGACGCGGAACTGCCGATAACGAAAACGCGCTGCGACTGCGCGCGACGCGCCAGTAGTTTTTGCTTCCATGCGTCGCGTCTCTTCGCGGCCAAATCCCCGAGCCAGCCGCGAAGCCGCGAAATTAGACGTAAGGGCCGCCCAGGCGAGCCTGGCGGCCTTTGTTATCACTCCGTGCAGCCGCGCTGCTTGTTACGGCGAGGGGTGGGGTGGGGGGTGCGAGGGGGAGGGGGAGGGGGAGGGGGATGGGGAGGGGGAGGGGGAGGGGGAGGCGGAGATTTTCCCTAGATCACGGGCCGCCACTGATAGATTGCGCGCTCCCCCCGTGAAGCCCTTTCCGGCTTTTTAGGGGCGATACGCGGCTCGGGGGGAGGAGGGGGAGGCCGGGGGACGGGGGAAGATGAGGGAGGGAAGCCGTTACGGAGTTTTAAGAAATGCAAAGGGTATCAAAAGGAAAAGAAAATAAGCTGATGGAAACGGGTCGGCCGGCGGGTAAGAAATTGGCGCGGGGAGGATCGGTTTGGCGCGCTTTCTGACGAGCGCGCCGAGCGCGTTTGCACTTCTACTCGCCGCGCGGCGTGTTTATTGCGGTCGGCGGCGCCGGTATTTGCGGACGGCGGGTTGCAGCGCGAGACCGAGGGCGACGCCGAGGGCGACGCCGAGCGACGACGCCAAATCAAAACAGCGTCGAAACAGCGAGGCGGAAGCGCGGAGGCGCGGAGTGGCGCCGCTCGCCGAGCTGTCTGTCTGTCCGTCGCACAGTGGGCCGGAAGACCGGCGCAGGCGGTCGAAATCCCGGACGCGTTTTGAGCTCCAGAGTCGCTGAATCGGACTCGAACCGAACGTGTGACCCCACCAATGGATTGCTCTCCAAGCGAGGAATCCATTGGTGGGGTCACACGCTCGGTTCGAGTCCTAGGTAGCGACTGTGGAGCTTAAAAGGCGTCTAGAGTTTTGGCCGCCTGCGCCGGTCTTCTGGCCCACTGTGCGTCGCGGACCCGGCCGTCTGAGCTGAGAGTGTGCCGGCGCCCGACCAACCTCGGCGGGGCGGCGGGGGCCTGTCCCGCCTGGCCCCGCCAGGCCCTGCTCGGCCCCGCCGCAGAGCACGTCATAGAGGCCCTGGTGGCGGTGACCAACAACGGAATGGGTTCGCTCGGGTAGGGGGGGGGGGCTGTCAGGCGCGGGCCGGGAAGGCCGGGAAGGCCGGGACCCGGATTTGCATGAGGGAAATATAGCCGCGATCAATCTGTGCGAGTGTCTCCTCGAGGGTGGGTGACCCGAATCCCGGCGGCACAGCGCGGCACAGGCCCTCAGCATCTCACTCATCGCGGCCCCGCCCCGCCCCGCCCGTCGTGACGAGGGCCCCGGTAATACATATTCACTGGCTGGTGGTTCGGCGCGTTGTGTCGCGTCGTTTCCAACTCGACCACTGGAGCTGGCAGCCCGGGCCGACGCCGCGACCCGCGCGACCCTCCCCGTGGAGTGGAGGGTGCCACCGCGCCGCCGCGCCGGGCGTGCTGCGAGGCTGCGAGGCGCCTCGCTTCGTCGGGTCTCCCGAGAGAAAATTATAGGCTGCAGATTGGCTGCAGGCTGGCTCCCTCCAGGTTGCTTACAACGCGCGGATGGAACTCGGATGGCTGCAGACATTGGCTGTATTCGGACATACGTCAGCCAAAATACAGCCATCCGCAGCCGGTGCAGCGTCTCTGGCTGCACCTGCCAGCCACTGAAGTGTCCCTTTGGAGCCCAGTCAGCGCTGCCCCCGCTGCTCTAGGCTGCACCCCGTAGCCTTCAGGATGCGCCAGACAGCCTTCCTTCGCGAGCCACGCTGCCTCCAGCAGCCACGAGGCTGCGAGGCACTGCTCCAGACTGCACCCCGCAGCCTTCAGGATGCCCCAGGCAGCCTTCCTTCGCCCGGGCCACGCTGTCCCCGGAAGCCTGGAGGCTGTGAGGCGCTGCTGTAGGCTGCACCCCGCAGCCTTCAGGATGCTCCAGGAAGCCTTCTTTCGCCCGGCCCACGCTGCCCCCGGCAGCTATGAAGCTGCGGGTCAGAGCCACATCTCGGCCGCATCCTGCAGCCTCGTGGATGCCATCGGCAGCATCCATATCGCTACTAGGCTTCACTCCTTAGTTCATGAAGGTCCCCATGAGGACCTTTGAGGGTCCCTGTTACGCCCTTTGAAGTTCTATGGAGCCCTTTGTAGATTTTCTAGGGTCCGAACACCGTTCCGGATCCAAATCTGCTAAGTAATTTCATGTAGGACTTACCGTTCCCGAGATATCAAAGATAACAAAAAAGTTTCCCGATTTTTACGAAACTTGCATGGCTTATGTATGTTAACGTATTCAACTCAAATATCAGCATACCACGCACCCAGTCTATTTTTTTCTATTTTTTATAGCCCTTTAATCAAGGAATTCGACCGTTGCCTGAATACCGCCAGCATCCACCATGCTGCAATCCGTAGCCTACAGCCATTGCAGCCTACATGGCTGTTTAGTCCTGCCGTAGCCCGGCTGCATCCGACAGCCAACACGCTGCGACGCGCAGCCTACAGCCATTGCAGCCTGCGTGGCTGTTAAGTGCAGCCGCGGCCAGGCTGTCGCTAGCAGCCAGCGCGCTGCGACGCGCAGTGCGCAGCCTACAGCCATTGCAGCCCGCGTGGCTGTAAAATCCAGCCGCGGCCCGGCTGGCGCCAGCAGCCAACACGCTGCTACGCGCAGCCTACAGCCGTGGCAGCCTACATGGCTGTAACGTCTAGCCACGGCCCGGCTGGCGCCAGCAGCCAACACGCTGCGACGCGCAGCCTACAGCCATTGCAGCTAAGTTGGCTGTGAGTGGCAGCGTTTATAGGCTGCTTAGGGCAGCCAAAAGGCTTCTGTGCGCAGCTTCTGAAGCGTTTCACAGCCAAAGCGCTCCGTGAAACAGCCAGACCAGCCACTGCAGCGTGGATGGCTGCAAGTCCAGGATGTCGCTATGGCTGCGACATGGCTGCAACGCAGCCATGGCAGCCATGCATACAGCCAAAAAACGGTCCATACAGCCATGCGTCAGCCGTGCGTCAGCCTTTCTGCAGCCTTCTATTTTTACTCGGGCTCCGCCGCGGTGCGCCCCGACCGCAGCACTCGGCAGGACAAGCAGGACAAGCAGGACGAGCACAGCAAGCGGGGCTTTTAACGTGTAGCAGCTCGCCCTTCTCTCTTGGCGTACCGCGGCATGAACGCTGCCGTGGCGGGGCGGGCTCCCTCGCCGGCTTTGTCTCTTTACTCGCCTCATTGTGACCCGCCATTAAGCCATTAGCACTACACACGCTGTCTGAGACAGCAGCACGGCCACGGCCAGGGCGAGGTCCCGGCGGGCACCATGGCCTCGGACAAGCCCTCGGCCTCGGCCACATGGCCTCGGACAAGCCCACGGCCTCCACCACGGCCACATGGCGTCCAGCACAGTGCAGCACCACGACGCCACGACCTTGGCCGACCTTGGCCGACCTTGGCCCGGCCTCGGCCACACTGTAAGTACCAGTCGGGACGCATGCCGCTCCACCCGCACTTACCATGGTGTAGACGGCGCTGGCGTAGCTGCCCTTGCGCAGGGAGTGCCAGCAGCAGCATGACTGCAACAGGGCCATGTCGGCGCGCGGGCTGCACGGCCCGCCAGGCCCCGCCCGCCTCGCCGCCCACCCTCCACCCCCACGGCCGCCTGGGGAGCCGGCAGGGTGGGCAGAGGGCCCCAAGGTCTGTCCTGGAACGACACAAGCACAGCATTAGTTGTCGCGTGCGGCCCAGTGCGGCGTCCGCTCGTCGAAGAGAGAGAGAAAACCGCTGCCCTGTGGTCGAGCGAGAAAGAGAGGAAAAGGGCGAACAAACAAGGAAGAGATCGGCTGCAACGCTCGCGGCCGGCACCGCACGGCACGGCACGGGCTAACCGCGAAGGTCGAGAAAAATGGCGAAAATTTCCCAGGGGATGCTAAAGCTGGACTTGCCTGGGGACTGGGCACTGCCATGCCTGCAGCAGTAAGGCCTGTTGGCCACAAACACACACATACGTACACACACACACACACGAGCGCAAGCGAGTAAACACTCACCCACACACACACACACATTCACAAGCACGCCGAACACACGCACGCCGCCCCGCGGAGAGCGGCGCGTGGGAGCAGCGTATTTTAACGGAAATTTCATTTCACCCTCCGGGCCTCGCCTCGCCAGCCCAGCCCAGCCCTTGGCCCAGCCCAGCCCAGCCCTTGGCCCATCGCCTCGCATTGTTTTCCATTAAGGGCTCCCAGGTATCCGTCGATGCCCTTAAATAAACCAGCGTGATATTACGGCCGCCGCTCCTGGAGGGATATAAACTTTTTTTTTTCTTTGTTGAGAGGAACGCAAGGAACGGCCGCTTGCCCGTTCCGCCCCACCCCAACACAGCCCGCGTCCGCGAGGGCAGCCTTCTTCTCCACCTCCAGAGGCACGGGCACGCACGCGCGCGCGCGCCGCGCGCGCACACACACACACACACACACACACACACACACACACACACACACACACACACACCACACACGAAGAAGGCCGCCCCGGGACGCGTTTCCACTCAGCGTATCATTCATTGTGCATGAGTCCGATAGCCGCCCCGCGGCCCTGGGCCCTTGGCCTGGGCCCTTGGTCTCGGCCCCGTCTTGCCGGCCACGGCCCCTCTCGGCCTCCGGGACGACCAGGACCAAGACCAGGACCACCACGAGCAGGAGGAGAAGCGGCGAGCTGCTTTATGGAATCGGGGAAATCTCGGCTGGACGATCCAGATGGCGGCCGCCCCAAAGTCAGGCAGAAACAACAACTTCCAGACATCCGTCTGCATGTTGACCGAATTTGCTGCGCCACTGCTCGCATAAACGAGTGTTGCAATTCGCATACCGGAGGGAGGAGTAGGGCGTATAAGAGAAGGATGTTCAGACCACCCACACGCTTTAGGGAGAACGATTTGCAACACTTGCACGCAGCGGTCGTCCAAGGTCAGGACTTTTAGAACTTTTAGACATCCGTCTACATTTTGGCCAACTTTGGCCACGGAAGCGGCATAGGGGGAGTAGCTGGCACCTTCAAGGTGGGCGGCACACAGTGGGCCAGAAGACCGGCGGAGGGAGGCGGACAAAAATTTAGACGCGTTTTGAGCACCAGAGTCACTAAATCGGACTCGAACCGAACGTGTGACCCCACCAATGGATTGCTCCCCGAACGAGGAATCCATTGGTGGGATCACACGTTCGTTTCGAGTCCTGTTTAGCGACTCCGGAGCTCAAAACGCGTCTAGAGTTTCGGCCGCCTCCACCGGTCTTCTGGCCCACTGTGCGGCTCTGGTGGGTGGGCGTTATAGGCAGAGCGGGCCGCCGCAGAGTTGTTTTCACTCGGATGCAAACACGCGGCGAGGCGCGCGGCGAGGAGGCAGACAAGCCCACCGGGCCTGTCGTCGCTCTGTCTCTCTCGCACCCACACGGGACGCTTCATGAGTGCGAGAGAGACGGAGCGACGAAAACGACTCTCGGGATCAGTCTGCAGGGGCGAGCACCGCACAACCACATCAGCATGCCGTGTGAGAGATCCGCCGTGCCTGAGTATCTAACGGTCTGACGCTCTGACCGACAGCGCGGCCGCGGAAAAACAAAACAAAAACACGGAGCGGCCTTGCTGCTCCACGTTCCATTCATCATCTCATACAATGTGTGGCGCTCCAATTTTAGACAGCGCGGTGCTGCTACTGCTGCTCGGCGCCGGAGCAGCTAGCTGAGTAATGAGAGCTCAACCAACGGTAAAACTTGAGGCACTCAAGTTGTGAATTTCGGGCGGCGGTGGCGGCGAGCGTAAGCCTCGGACTAAATCGGTTCGACTTCGTCCTGCGGCGCTGGCGTGCCGGCCCTTCGCCCACCGCGCCACACACAGCCCCACGGCGCTGGAACGAGAGCCGCACAGTGGGTCAGAAGACCGGTGGAGGCGGCCGAAACTCTAGACGCGTTTTGAGCTCCAGAGCCGCTAAACGGGACTCGAACCGAACGTGTGACCCCACCAATGGATTCCTCGTTCGGAGAGCAATCCATTGGTGGGGTCGCACGTTCGGTTCGAGTCCCATTTAGTGACTCCAGAGCTCAAAACGCGTCTAGAGTTTTGGCCGCCTCCACCGGTCTTCTGGCCCACTGTTCCCCACAGCGCTGGCACAAGGGCCAGCCCTCTCGCCCTATTCACAGCGTGGGCGCCGACGCGCCCGGATGTGGAGGTAACCACACCGGCCGAGTGGCCGAGGCGTCGAAGCGGGCTGAAGGGATGAGCTGGCTGGCCCTCGGCCTGGCCGGCCGGCACACTGTTCGTCGCTCTGTCTCTCTCGCACCCATACGAGCGCCCCACGAGTGCGAGAGAGACAGAGGTCCGCAGGATGACGGACAGCTGCTGGCGTCATCACTTACAGGCCGATATGTACCGACGGCGTGCTGCTGCTGTCGTCACCTCGAGGACGATGCCCCGCTGGGGCCGGCCTGCCTGCCTGCCTGCCTGCCTGCCGGCCTGGCGCCTCGTTTACCCCGTCGTATATTTCGCGGGCGAGGTGACGCGTCTTTTATTAAGTGACCAAGGAGGGTGACCAGGGAGACGGGGGAGGGGGTCATCCCCAGGATGGCCGGCGCGGCGGGCGGTGTTGCCTGCCAAGATGAGGCCAAGTTGATTGAACGAAATGAGGAGGGTGATGAGAGCGATAAGGCTGCGGGTTGATTAACGCGGACGACCTGAAGGGTGATGCGGCGATGCGGCGCCCCGTCATCTGGTCTGTGATCATGCCGCCAAAGTTTGGGCACCGCAAGACTCTCCTGCCGCCGGCCGGCGCGCCCTTGGAGCCAGCGGGGCCGGCGGGGAGCGGGGGCTACTCGCGCACCGCACAGTGGGCCAGAAGACCGGTGGAGGCGGCCAAAACTCTTGACGCGTTTTGAGCTCCAGAGTCGCTAAATGGTCCTCGAACCGAACGTGTGACCCCACCATTGGATTGCTCCCCGAACAAGTAATCCATTGGTGGGGTCACACGTTCGGTTCGAGGCCCATTTAGCGACCCTGGAGCTCGAAACGCGTCAAGAGTTTTGTCCGCCTCCACCGGTCTTCTGGCCCACTGTGCACCGCCCGCCGGCCCGGCAGGCCCGGCAGCCACTCGCTGGCGGAAGCGTCGCTCGAGCGCATCCCCCTCCCCCCCTCCCCCGGCAGATTCCGGGGCGCAGAGCGCAGAGCAGCCCGAGGGCCGAGGGGCGTTCCGATGTCGGGATAAAGGAGGAGCAGCGCAACGGGACCACGACCGCATCCATCAATTGATGGATGTATACTGCCAAAAGGCACGCATCACGGAGGGGAGGGGCGGGGCGGGGCGGGGCGGGGCGGGGCGCGGGGCAGCGGGGCGCACAAACCTTGGGGCAAGCTCACGAAGAGCGCTGCTTGTTTGAAATCTTCATTGGTGTGTTTAGGGATCAGTCGTCTGCTGTTCGTTACGCTCTCAAGGGCTCAAAAAAAAATATATTCAATTTTGTAAGAGGAGATCTTGGGAAATTTAAGATTTTTTTGAACTTTTCATTTGATTGTCTTTGTGACCGCCGCGGGGTCGTCGGCGGGGTAGTCCCAGCGCGCGGCAGAAGAGCCTATTCCGTTCCGTTTGCTGTACACTAGACTGCACCGAGGTTCAAAACAAGGTGGAAAAATTTTGCTCTCCGCTATTTCAAATTTAAATTATCGACGGCGACGAGAAAGAAACGGGTGGAATCGGATTTTTCACGGCGCCTCGGCCTCAGAGTGAAGGCAGATGGAGGCACAGCGGCGGCAGAGCCCCTGCTGGCAGGCTGGAGGCCGGCCCGTGGCGCAGCTGTGTGTTGCGGGATGGCCTACCGCCGCCGCTCGGGCGCTCGGTCCCCGTCCCGGTCCCCGCAGCACAGCCGCACAGCACGGCCCAGAGCCGATGGAGGAGAGCCGAGCCCCGCGCTGCGCGGTGCTGCGGCTGCGGTGCGGTCCGGAGTCCGGGCAGCAAGACGGGCAAGACCGAGCCGAGCCGGGACCTCCCAGGGCGGTGGACCGGAAAAAACGGTGTTTGTGCTGGCCGTGGTTGTGTGTGGCTTGGGCCCTTCCCTTCTTATCGTCCACCCCAGGATTGCCGAGCTTGTTGAGGGGGATGAGGGCCGGGGAGGCTGGAGGCGGCTGGAGGCGGCTGGAGAGGCGACCGGAGGAGGCGACCCTCTGGAGGCTGTTTTCTTTTCGGCCTGCTTATGGATGCCCCATCATGACGGAGCGATTTCCTTGGGGGAGGGGGGCGTTGTTGTATGGTGCAATAATGCACGCCCCGCGTGAATAGACCCCCCCCTCTCTCCCCGCGCAACGCCCGTTTACGACCGACCCCATTCTACTTCTGTATTCAATCCGGCGTCTCTGCTCTCATCCGCAGCGCACCGTGCGTTCGCAGTGCAGCCGCGCTACCTTCGAGCGCAGCCGGAAAATGTTTTTTTCGCAGGTGCTGGTCGCAGTCACGTCGTCGGCATAAGTGCACTTTCAAATTATTTCGAGACGTTGGATCATGGGAAATTGAGCAGTCGAGTGTTTCGAAATAATCTAGTGAGGTGTAACAGACACGCGACGGGCGTGCTTGCTACCTGTCCAC